TTCTGAGGAGTTGGAGAAATGGTCTTGTTCTCGATGATGTGACCTAAGAACTGGATACGGGTCTGCAGAAAATGGCATTTCTTTAGGTTGAGCTCGAGACCATATTCGCTGCAAGTTGATATAACTTCGTTGAGATTCGACACCGCCTCCATTTCGTCCTTCGCTGGGATAATTATGTCGTCTACATAAGGGAGAGCGATTCCTCTACGGGACAGTACTCGGAAGATCGCATTGATGTGTCTTTGAAAAACACCAGGTGAGTTGGACAAACCGAAGGGCACCTTTAGGAATTGGTATTGCCCACTCTGCGTCACGAATGAGGTGTACTTCCTGCTAGATTCGGCCACTGGCACATGGAAAAAGCCATTCCGCAAATCAATTGTACTGAATATCAACGCTTCTTGCAAGCGGTCAAGTTGGTCGTCAATCAGGGGCAAGGGAAAATGATCTTTTACGATTACCTTGTTTATACGCCTGTAATCTATACAGAGTCGTTGCGAACCGTCGTTTTTCTTCGCAAGTACTACCGGGCTTGTAAATTCGGAATCAGACTCCTCGATTATACCGTTATCCAACCACTGTTCTATTTGTTCGTCGATCACGTTTGTTTCAGCGAAAGCGAATCTGCGCGGGCGCGAGAAAATTGGCGATTCGTCATTTAGAAGGATTTTCATTTCAATGTTGGTCGACTTCGATTTTACCGGCTTGTAATTCATTATTAGTTCACGCACTTTTTGTTTCGCACACGCACTGGCTGATTCGTTTATATCGAGTTCATCGTTGTTAATAACCGTGTCAATTTTCAGCAAGTTAGCTGGAATGTTGTCTTCGCAAAGATTATTTATACTTCGCACACGCAAACCACTGGGACCGAACGATATTTCTGCTTGCAAACACAATTCCTCGCCAATGATCATTCGAGTGTCCATACAATCGAGCGGAACTATAAAGAAATTCAAATCGTAGGCACTGTTGTCGATCCACACTGCTTGCTTGCACTGTCCAATTGGTTTGATCTTATTGGAATTGCGATTTTTACCAAATCCAATTAGATATACACTGCACTCTTTCAGCTTCGGCAAAGCTAGCTCCTCGTAAAGGTCTTCACGCAAAATATTAAATTTGCTGCCTGTGTCGAACAGTGCGATACAATTTTGTGACTTAATTGAAACAACTTTGCTCGTCATGTTGTTGTGGTCACTTAAAACTCGCGCGTTTGGCTTGCACTCATCGACTGTTTCGACACGTTGGGGACAATTTTTGGAGATGTGACCGAATTTGTTGCATTTAAAACACTTCCTGCCCTTCTCTTTATTGTTGCAACCACTAGACAGATGTCCCTTCTCGCCACAGTTGTAGCAAACGATTTCCTTCTTGACACCACCTTTTGTACCACTGTGCGCCGCTTGAGCTTTCTTGTCTTTCACACTGCTTTCGCCAAAATGAGATTTTGCACTGATTGTTTGGTAGTCCTTCAACTTGTCCTTAAATTCGGTCATGTTTCTAGCTCCATAAAGCATGGATTTATTAATTGAGAGTTCATCAATACCGTCGATCACGTATTGGATGAGAGCGTCTTCTTCAACATTTCCCCGTGAGGCAATATCTTTCATACGGTAAAAATATTCCTGTACACTTTCGGTTGCGCGTCGTTTGCTCTCTCCAAGTTGCATGTGTATTTGTTTGCTGCTCACTCTCGATCTGAATTCGCTTAACAAAGACTCTTTTAAAGCACTCCACGAATTTATTCCTTTCTCGCTCAACACAAACAATTTCGCGACACCTTTGAGCGATTTTTTGGCAAAGATCAGCTTTTGCATTTCGTTCCAACCCATGAGTACAGCTTGGTCTTCAAAATCACTTATCCAGACCTCGACTGGAATTTCGTCTGTGCCTTCGAATTGTTTTATAGATTCCTCTATATCGCGAAAACTTAAAGCGAAACGCGGCATTTCGTTGTATTGAATTGGCACTGGTTGCGAATTCTTCTTTCGGTCTTTTTCACTCGTTGGATTTGTTCTTGCGGAATTTGAAATGACACTCTCGATTTCGTCGTCGCTTTGATACTCCTCTTCGTCTTCTTCATCTTCATCAGATTCCTCTGGGTCTTCCACTTCGTTGCCAGCGAGAAGTTGGCCAAATCGAAGATTGCGAAAAATATGCAATTGCATGTTTTCGACTTCGTGGCTTATGCCTAAAACTAGGCATATTGAGATTAAATCCCTTTCAGTCAGTTTTGCCTGCACGTACACACTTTTGGCTTTATATACTGCGTCATTTTCGTCGTATTGAAAGCCAGAAAATTCGCGAAGGCGTTTGCGATTATTCCTGTCTCCTTCTTTTTCAAACACGAATTTGTGCAAAGCCCAAATGCTTGCCTTTGATGCTGTTTTTAAATTGTTTGAAATTAAATCGTTTAGACACGCCATAATTGAAAAAATGTATGTTTCACGAAGGGTTTTTTGTGTCTCTTTCACGTAGTAGAACTTTCACGTATCACTTTCACCTTTCTCGGATACTTCCCGGCGAGCTCCCAAATGTGGGGTTTTTATTAGTTTTGAAGAATATAAGTTTAAGGGTTTATTTAAATGATTAAATAATGTCACAATGTCAGTAGAATTGAGACCGTCGTCGCGTCGTTCTGCTCTTCACACAAGCACGTCTTCCTTGGATCAGATCTCGTCAAATACTGCTCCTACTCGTCGTTCTCGTCCTATCGTCGTTGGTTTCGTCTTTTTCTTCTTTGGCTCGTCTTCTTCTGGAATGCGCTACTTCTCGTCGTTGTCTTAGGGATGGTTAGGGATAGGTAGGGTTATTCTAGTAATATCACTCCCTCAGTAATATCACTCCCACATGGATGAGGGTAGACAGATATCTTTGCATCAGCAACGTCTGCTGATAGAGCAATAAACTATGTTTTATATGCATGCTTAAATTAGAGATACGGAGACTAGCGTTGTTATTTAAATGAAATGTTTTTTTAGTACTTGATTATGTTCTTTTGAACTCCGTCAGTGTATCCAGTATACTATTGTGGTTAGTGACGAATTTTATGATTGATTTATAATGCCACCTTTTACATAACTATAAACAATTGTCTTATTGTCATTAAATGTTAATCCTATCGATTTTGTATATAAAAAAACTCTATCCTATCAACTGTGCAACAAAATGAATGATTTTTAAATTCCCAAGCTAAAAAAGATTAAAAATTTCCCCGACGCAAGGATTTTTAGCAAAAGGACCTCAAAGCACGAAAAACGCTGAAATTGGCCAACTTTCCGGAGATTTCAGAGGCAAACGGATTCATCGTTTGTATTCATGTAAAATTTTTTTTTTAAGATACACTTTTTATCTTTTAAGCACCATACTTAGAATAATTTAAGGATTTTTTTAAGGGAAAAACAAATTCTACAAATTCTTTTGCTAAGAATTCTTTCGTCGGGGAACATTTTGCAAAACGCAGTTTAACTTGGGAATTCGTAACAAATCCAAAAATATAGCATCCATCGAGTTAAATTTTTGATGTTGCATAGTGTTATTGTTAAATTTAATTCGAAATTCTGGAACATTAAGCAAGAGTAGTATCCCAGAGTAAAAGAGAATACAATGAAAACCTAAGAAGCTATAATATGGTCTTCCGGTTCGAAATTCAGAAATAATAAAAACAAGAAAGGAAGCTAGCTTCGGCCAGCCGAAGCTTATATACCCTTGCAGACCATTCCTATTAATTAACAAATCGCAAAAATGTTCAATTTTCTAATATTTCTCATTAATTTTCCGATCGTTCCTAATGCAGCTATATGATATAGTCGTCCGATTTTGATCAAATTAAAATTGAAATTCGGAAATATTTAAAAAGAGTCATATCCTAGAGTAGAAGATAATACAATAAAAACCAAAGAAGCTAGAATTTATTTCCTATTACTTTTCCATTAATTTTCCGATCGTTCCTATGGCAGCTATATGATATAGTAGTCCGATTTTTTAACAATTTAATTCGAAATTCAGAAATATTTAAAAAATAACATCCCCAAAAGTAGAAGGTAATAGTTCAAAAAACACCGAAGCTAGAATTTTTTAAAGTTTTTTTTTCCGATCCTTTCTATGGGAGCTATAAGATATAGTTGTCCGATCCGGTCGGTTCCGACATATATACTACCTACTTTTGCGAAAGTTTCGTCCCGATAGCTCAAAAACTGAGAGACTAGTTTGCGTAGAAACAGACAGACGGACAGACGGACGGACAGACGGACATGGCTAGATCGACTCGTCTTGTGATGCTGATCAAGAATATATATACTTTATGGGGTCGGAAACGTCTCCTTCACTGCGCTGCAAACTTCTGACTGAAATCATAATACCCTCTGCAAGGGTATTAAGATTATTCCCAAGAGTATGAGGTTATATTTTAAAAAACACTGAAGATTTTATTTTTATACCCGTTAGTAAAAGGGTTATTGTATTCGTGCAAAAGTATGTAACAGGGAGAAGCAAGCGTTTCCGACCCCATTACTTACTTGATCAGGGTCACTAGCCGAGTCGATCTAGCCATGTCCGTCTGTCCGTCTGTCTGTCTGTATGAACGCTGAGATCCGGAAAACTACGAAAGCTAGAAGGTTGAGATTTCCCACACATATTCTTGGGCTTCCTACAGAGCGCAAGTTTATTTCAGCCGAGCGCCACGCTGCTCTAACGCCCACAATCGCTCACTAACGATTTTAAAATGTGTCTGGCGCCCACACCGTTAAAGATTTCCGAAAAGTATAAGTGCAATTTTGTTGTATATAAATATACCTATCGAAATGTAAAAGAAATTTTTCAAATCGGACCATTCAAAAAGTTATGCGCAATTAAAAAAAAACCCGACTATAGCATTCTCTCTTGCTTTAAATAAATTGAATACGATCTCTTAATCCTTTGGCTTTATATATTTATAGTAATAGTTTGCACTTTTTAATATCATTATTAGCCGAGAAAAATCTTTTGAATTTACTTACCACTTTGTAACCCCCAGTTAAGTTGTATACACTTTAAAAGCCAAACATTCATAACACGACGACAAGTATTTGTTGTTTAATTTTCTGTATAATTCAATTTGCTTTTACGGGTAGCATATGTGATATTTACTCAGCTTATTTATTCAATAATAAATATAAATTTGTATTTCATATTTTTCTTTGTAGCTGTGTTTGCGGGTATTTAATGATCTGCTGCACCTCCTGGTCTACTCGGTTTTATTACACAATGCATTAGGCACTACATTAATTCCTGATGTTTTTGTTGTATTTTTTTTTTATTTCGCTTATGCTGTTTGCAGAATTAATTTATAAAATATTTAAAGAACGACGCGCCGCAAGCTTTTATTTTTGGTTATTTCTGTTTGTGTTGTTTTTTCCATGAATTATTGATGGCGTTTGTTTTGTATTTTGTTATTCATTTATTACTTTTGATAATATTTTTTGCAGACGCTGTAAAACATAAATGCACAGGGATGTTTAAAGAGGTTGAGGGTGTGGGGGGTCGGATAATGAATCCATATAGGGGCGCGTAACGGCGAGGCGATAATAAACATGCACAAACACAATAAATTTTACATTATAAACAGCAAGAACAACAAAATATACAATTAGCAACAGCAAAAGCATAAATTTTGGTTAAGAGTTTTAAAGGGAAACAACAGCAAAATCGCGTATACGCCACGTGGACGCGTGATAATTATGGCTTTTGGGCACGAAGTGTAGGCCACAGAAAATATCTTAAAATTTTTTCCTTTACATTCCTGCCCCCTTGCAACATGAACGTTGAAAGCGAAATGTTTTTAGCAAGGACATGAACGCGAGGTGGCAAGGTCTGTCAATAGCTAAAGTTGGCTGACGAAGCCAAAAACAAAACACTGGCTGCGAGAAGACGCAAGGAAGCCAAGCGCAGCCTTTTGGCAGCTGTAAAAACATATATGTGTGTACGCCGTACATCTATGTCTATGTGGGAGCTGTCTGGGTTAGTAAAAGGCAAGCGCGGAGAAAAAGGACTCGGGCTAAAGCGACAAAAAGGAAATCAAGCCAAAAGCTGAAAAAAAGCGCAAGCAAAACAAAGTCGAGCGGATGATGAGACCTGACTGGCCCAGAAGAAGATGGAGAGAAAAACGGAGAAAACCCAGAGCCAAATGATACAAAAAGGTTATTCCTCACCCATTAAAGGGGTAGTGTTCATTTTGGGTACTCAGTATACTTATATGCCTTCGTAGGTGGAAATTATGATTGCTTGTCTTGTTCCAGTTATTAGTTATTTTTTCTATTTGGGTATCTTTTTATCTACCCATCTAATTTTATATATTCCACGGACATAATTCAGAAGCCAAAATTAGGACTCTTAAATAGACAACGCAGACAATTATGTGACAATGGACAATTATGGGTCAGCTATTGGCCATCTTTCGCCATTGTCATTTTTCGGAAATCGCCTTTTAATGTGATTTATTGATTGGAGGTCAAACTTTATACGTCCCACTACCTCAGGGCATGTACATATAATAAAAAAAGGCAAAGAAAACGTATTTGTCATGCCTTCTATCCTGTTATCTTTCCATCTTTCTTTCCCTCTGTTCCTCTCTGTTTAGCTATATTCCGTTCCGTATAGTAGATATATATTCCATGATGACTTTGCTTGTGTACGCCCGACTAGGTTTTTGCTATTTACACACGCCTACATAGCAGGGGGCGAACCTCAACCTTCAGTGGCCATAATATCTTCTCCCCGCCAGAATGGCTGCGTCGTCTGTTTTATAATCAAATAAAAACACCTCTTAACGAGGTAAAAAACTAGTGACGATCGCACCTTCAACATACAAAAGTTCTGATATCAACATTTGTGACGAAAAATTATTACACTCGTCATTAAATAGACTTTCTAATCTTTTCTCATTCGGCCCGCCCTAGCAGACTATTCCAGCCTTTTTCCCTTCACAGGCATTTTCTATTGCAGCGTGCCGAATAAAAAAATATTAGAAAGTCTATTTAATGACGAGTGTAATAATTTTTCGTCACAAATGTTGATATCAGAACTTTTGTATGTTGAAGGTGCGATCGTCACTAGTTTTTTACCTCGTTAAGAGGTGTTTTTATTTGATATCAGAAGTTTTTATTTGTTTACATTTGCTCTCATAGGAGCTAATATATACATTTAAATTTAAATTGGTCAATCATAATTTGTAAGCCATTGTATTTAAACAAATTAAGTTAAAAAGTATTTCAAAATACCTTTTAAACGAGGTATGGCACATGTCTGTACCTTTAGTAGTGTAGAACTTACAAACTAACGAAATTTAGCCATTTTTAGCTTTTTTCCCGCTAAAGTAGCGGCTTTTTCCAAAAGTCGTAGAACAAAAGATTCCTATATGGAACTCTTAAGTGCAAATTTACTGATTCCATGACCCTAAAATACAGTTCGGATACCCTCACACAAAATTTAATACTCAGGAAGCTTTAGTTGTTCGAGCTGGCAAAAGTGGCTATTTTCGTATAAAAATAACTTTTAAACGTGACTTTTTACAGTAATGTGTTATATACCAAAATTTAAGGAATCTCAAGGGCTATACAGTTTAAAGTTTTCAAAAAAATCGTTAGAGCCGTTTTTGAGAAAAATAAAAAAAAGCTAAAAAAAAAGTTTTAAAAAATTGTCTTTTGTTCATATCTTTTTAATTATTACATTTACACAAATTGCATATAGAAGGCGTTTATAGCTTTTAAAAATACCTTTCAAACAAGATGCAGCACAAGTCTGTAGCTTTAGTAGTATAGAAGTTACGGTTTTCCGAATTTTAGCTATTTATAGCTGTTTTCCCGCTAAACTAGCGAGTTTTTCCAAAAGTGGTAGAACAAAAGTTTTTTATATCGATGGGATGAACGTCATATTAAATTTTCAAAACTTAAGAAACATGTTTTGGACAAACTGACAAACTGACAAACTGACAAACTGACAAACTGACAAACTGACAAACAGAATTAAATTTTCATTTTGGGAAGAAGAAGGAAATCTTATTTTGGCTATAACTTTTGAACGGAGCGTCGGATTTTGACAAATGACCCCTCATTCGACGGGTATTTTCAAAAGGAATACAACTAAAACATTGCGAGGGGGCATTTATCCCCACCGGCCCCAACAGCTCCAAATTTCGAAATTTTCATTTTTTCACTTTCACCGCTCTCTTTCCCAAGCCAATTGATTTTCTTAAAGTCTTGGTATGCAATCCTTTAAGTTATTGCAATACCTTTCGATTGGTGTATTACTCATTACGATCGGACTATCACAGCAGATTTTCAATTTTGCGGCTATATAATAGTAGTCGCCTTCGCACACTCTCCTGGTGCGCTTCGTCACTACATGGACTGCCGTCCATAGTGATTTTCACAGACGTCGCCCTCGCAATCTCCCACTCTCAAGTGCCCTGGGTTGACACTCGCACATTCAAACACTTCATAAAAAAGCCGCGCTTGTTCCCATTATTTATGTATATTTTCACCTACATTTATTTTATTTATGGAAAGGAAAACGAATGGAGACAGTAAAAATAAAAGAGAATGTTGTGGGCTCAGTGTGAGTTAAGATGGGGCCAAAGCCTTAGGGACAAAACATCAAAAACACCAGATGAAAATGGAAGAGGATATTTTAAACACAAAAACAGGGAGATACACGTATTCCCCTAAATAAGCCTATACAATGTCTGGGCAAAACAGGCGCTAAAACCTAAGCTCATTTTTATGGCAAAATTCAAACAGCTATGCAAATAATGTTTATACGATATTATTTTAGCGTCGTTTTATTTTGTTTAAAAAAATCATAAAAGCGTTAGTTAAACAAGTTTCACTGTGTTTTTTGTGCAAATAAATCAGTATAAATAAGTCATATAAATTTAATTATAATAAATGTGGAAAACAACGTAAACAGAGCGATAAACAAATTTAATTCGTGCACATTTTCAATCACCCAATAAAAGATTCGTTTTAAATTTAAAAAAAATTGAATTTATCAATTAAATATTTTTTATCTGCATCCGAACTCAGCGCCAAGAAGACAATAAATATTAAGCAGATATGTACGTATGTATGTGCTATAATAAGCATATTTAATAGAAGCTGTGCCAGCAGTCATGATGCATTTGCAAATATGTCAGGGCATAAATATATAGAACGCAATTTATATATGCATCTAGTTAAAGTTTTTCCTCTTTTTGGCTCTGTCATGGGGGGAGGGGTTTGACGTGGATGAGAAGGAGGAGCAGGAGGAGGAGGAGGGGTCAGAGGGCACGTAAGGATGAAGCCTGCACTTGTCACGCCTTGTCTTCTTCTCATTCACCATGTCTATGTGTGTGGCGTTATTTGCATGGGGGCGTGCGTGTGTGCGGTTTGGCCTCGTTGAAAATGCAAAACAAAAATACAAAAAATGAGCAAGCGAGATAAATAAAAAGGACAACAGTGGAAAAAAAGGACGAGACTAAGAAGGCAATGCCCGTGGCTTTTTGAGTTTGCCCATAAGTGTCTGTGTTTGTGGATGTTTACTTCTGTGTATGGATTTGACGACATTTGCTTTATTGTAAAGTCCAAAACAAGCTTAGATCACACTACTATATAGCGATTTATGCAGAGAGAATCTTTTGAAATGGTCTTGTTATTGCGTTACTTCAAGATTTTGTTGCTAAATTTAAAGTCGGGAGTTAACTAACCTAGATCTTTAAAAATATTTAAAATTAAATTCATTTTAAATTAAATTTCAGGAAGTAAGTGTTGATACTTGAGGTTGGTATACAATATTAAAAATAAAATACAAAAAAAAAAAAACACTTCTACGAATTCAAAGGCACAGACGAGCAAATTATAACTTTTATTAATCGTCACTACACTTTTCATCTGTAGGTTTCTGCCACTGAAGTTAGTAAAAAGTCAGAGCAGCTTGAGGAGTTTTAAAGCACTCATAAAAACCGAGTTGAGAGCAGGGGTTTGAACCGGGCATTGTATCAAAATGAAAGCGTAGAAAATAAAGGTTGAAAATAATCAATAATAAAATAAAGGAGTTTCCCGAAACTTTGGCAATAAGTGGTTTCGGGCTTGGTTTTCCCTGGGGCAGGATCCGAAGGTTTCGGTTAATTTTGATGCTTTACTAAAATGCCAAGAAAAAGTTGATATAGCAACAGATGCAGCTTGCGATTAAACCAACTTTTTGTGAATATTTCTTACGCTTAAATATTACATTATCCTGCCTAAGCCTGCCACTCCTTCGTAACCACAGCGGGGTAATGAACTCAATGCTCGGC